CTATAGTTTTAATTGCAGTCATTTAAAGAATTGCATCGATGCCTTCTCTATAGCTCACAGATTGCAACTACCTAGTAAGCCTGTAAAATTGTACTTATAGAAACTGTTTTCCAGCAGGACGTCAAATATTGAGCATCGTGTGAAATAAATTTTATCTTAAAATAAACACTTGTGAACTTAACATCACAAAAAAGGGAGGGTGGATTTGCTGATCAGCAAACGATGATGGTGAGGGAGATGATTCCAGCTCACCCATGTTTGTGGGGCAGAACATTCTGTATCTGTCAGGCTTTATGTGACGGAAAACGAGGCAAACGATCAGTAATACTGAGGTTGCTTTCTTGCGCTCAATATTCATATATATTCCCAAGTTTGTACTGAATTCGTTATAATACTAAGACAACCTAATATATGCTAACTCAGACTTCGACACCATGGCCTACCGGCTGGCATCAAATAAAAAGTACGAAAATAAGAAAACGAACAATAAAAACAAAACGTATCAGCTTTTCTCGATAATCTACTTTCTTCTGATGTACTTTGCACGAAAATAAACAGCCTACCTCAACTGAACTTCGACAAATGCAAACCAAAGTGGGGCTTGTACCTCGAAACAAAGTTCTAATTTATGTTTTCGCACTTATATGTAGTGCTCACTAACCAAATAAACAGAAAGCTACCATATATTACACACATTTAACAGGGAGAAATAGATCCTCAACAAATCTATGTAAATGCTATTCATCCTGCCATAATACATTTTTAAAGAAAATTTCTAGTGTAGCGGTGAATAAATCCCCAAAATAAATAGCTCTGTAACGAACTGACATTGGATGCTGGCCACATTAGTTTTAATGAACTCGCCTACCTGAAAGCACTCGGTCATGCTCCGCACCAGATCACGAGTGCGAACGCCATGCTCAATATCCTCTGTAATCGCCTGCCAGATTAGATCAGACGATCCTCGGTACATTGATAGCCTATCAAATATATATTCGAACCTTCTCGCTTCGGTCTTTTGATTTCACCTGATGGGTACGATTCATATTAGATGTTACTGGTTGAAGCGTTGTCAAACTTCGAATACCTGTGGCATCTTCAACAGAGTCTATCTCCACTGGTGACAAATCTTTCAGGTTTTGGGTTTTTATTGAGTCTGACATGAAGTATGTGGTTAATATAGTAGTGAAATTAGCACGAAAAATGGTTACTACAACACGAGTAACATAATATTAAAAACATTATTAAAACTATGTGCATACCCGACTTAGTTTACGAATAATCAGTAGGTCTACCTTTACGACTATGTAAAATAATGATATTAATAACAAAGATAAGGTTAAATTTATGTTCAGTAGGGCTCACCAGTCTCGTGCCTCTAGGTAACCCTTGTGCTATTGATAGAAGAAACCAGACAAGTAGTGAATAGGTCTTTATTTGGATCTTCGCGCAGTCACAGTGGAGCGGGGGATTATTTGTTCAGACAAACAAAGCCTCTAAACATTCAGCATAAGATATTAGGTATTATAACGCCTACACAAAATAAGGAAGTGAATGAATACTAGAACTATACTGTTTTGACATATGCTTAGTTGTTTGAGGTGAACTATTAACCAACCAACCTAAGCTGTTGCGGGTACACTAAATCCAGATTTTTATCTTACTAGAAGGGAAAATAAACTATCGATCGCAGTGAAAGTCCTCATTTGAGTAAACCCTTAAATATTTACCGAATACTGAATTGTGTTACCGATTATCCTACTCAAATAAAGTTCAAAACACTACACGATATGGTGAATTTAAGCTAAAAATTTCCATTAAAAAACCAGTGGTACTTCACACATTATTTCTTCATGAACAACACACAATCCTGAGACGACTTCAAGGCCGTGGAATAACTATGTTTAAGTAACACCTATGATGAATGTATTCCATTCATTCAATAATACTCGTAGTTCATGGAATTTGTTTCCTAAACTACGAGTATTTGTGCTCAAATTACCTCCAATAACACAACTAGATGTTTACACGACCGTTTTGTGGCCAGTTGTTTAGATTGTTTTTATCTTACTTTCTGTACATATTCCAGGTCTCACCCTAACGTTACCAAAAGATTCCGTTGACCCTACGATCTAAGAGTTACCTTCAGCTATCCATAAGATCGAGGTTCGAAATTTCCTCCAGTACTCTTCCTATTCTTATGAATTTTCCTGCAGTTATCAGGTTGGGTATCCAGATATGAATGCGCGGATCGGCAAAGCAAGAATAGCATATTTACAACTGAGGAACATCTGGAACTCAAAACGACTGTCAACCAACATCAAGGTCAAGATTTTCAATACAACTGTCAAGACAGTTCTACTGTATGGCGCGGAAACCTGGAAAACTGTAAAAGCCATCATTCAGAAGATACAAGTGTTTATTAACAGCTGTATACACAAAATACTTCGAATCCGTTGGCCAGACACTATCAGCAACAAACTACTATGGGAGAGGACAAACCAGATCCCATCGGAGGAAGAAATCAGGTAGAAGCGCTGGAAGTGGATAGGACACACATTGAGGAAAGCAACCAACTGCGTCACAACGCAAGCCCCCACTTGGAATCGTCAAGGCCAAAGGTGGAGAGGAAGATCAAAGAACACATGACGTCGAGAAACGGAGATAGACATAGGAAAAATGGACAAAAATTGGAGAGGACTGGAAAGGAAGGCTCAGGACAGAGTGGGTTGGAGAATGCTGGTCGGTGGCCTATGCTCCATTGGGAGTAATAGGCGTAAGTAAGTATCACGAGGAAAGCCTTAATTTAACATCCTGAAGGGAAACAGAAGAGAGGACGTTCAATCAACACATTGGGCAGGGAATCGAAAGCAGAAATCAAAAGAATGAACAACAATTGGAAACAACTGGAAGGAAGAGCCCAGGATACAGTTGGTTGGAGAATCCTGACAGGCGACTGATGGTGCCATGAAGGGTAATGGGCGTAAGTAAGTATTGAGTATAGGTTTGAAAAAATAGTGAATTCGCATACTGAAAGGAAAAATGAACACAAAATCAATCATCAAAATTAATTATTATTTGGATGCAAATTTTTATTTGAAACCATCACTCACTATCGAGACATACACAGTTTCGGATACTGAAAGTTAGAAAAATGTGTTGACAATTTTACAGAGCTTTGATTATTGGAACAAGTATGTCCGTAATCAGTATATCAAAATTGGGTATCACTCAGTTGACAAAAGTCGTGTGGAAAAGATGGTATAGATCTTATCTGTCAAGAAGCACACATATTTCGGAGTGCTACGACTTGGATGGACATCCTAGCAGCATAATACACCTCAGTTTAAATCAAATATAACATTTAGCAGCACAAGCTACTGGTTTGATTAGCTGTATTTATAAGCTGTTCACTAACGTACTAGTACTTCAATAAAAGAATGATAAATGAATGATTCAAAAGAAACAAGTCAAGAGAATCGATGCCGGTAATTTTATAATTCTATCTGGATTATAATAACCTCAGCCATACTTTGCTGATAAGTGTTTGCATTTACTGATGAGCAACTTCGTTGCTAGTAAATTATATGATAAGAAATAGCTGAATTAGAAACCAAAGTTCTAGACCAGTGAGGTGGAAATTGCTTAACACTAGATTTTAGGTCATGCTGCTACAAGATGGGAATAACGATAAACAACAATCCATTATGTTGTCGAACCAATCGTCATATATCATTCAATCACATTTCACTGAATTCCTAAAATGTAAATATAAAGTGACATTTTCGATAAAAACTAGTTGTTGGCTGTTAATCTTATTGAAACGTCCAACTACACGATTGAGATCCACGTGAAACCGAAAATTAAAGAAAAAAACTATTTGTCTAAAGAATGATTCGGTTGTTGAAGAACAAACATAATTTGGTTACCGACATCAACTTGTGTGGTATCTGCAGTGAATAACTCATCTGTATATTTGGAAAGGGAAGGGATCCCTGTTATAATAACATAAAGAGTAATTACAACATACGACAACGTAAATGACAGCTGATAATTGTGTCTAGTGTTAACAACATTTCAAAAACAACCAAAATGGGGAGACTAAGAACACTCAAATGTGAAAACTGTTGAGTTTAAAAAAGATTTAAAGTGTGAAAAAACTGGAGATAACTGTTGCAAGGGTTAGTAGAAAGTAATTATAATTGTAAATACAGTAAATATTATTAGTTTATATAAATAGTTTAGGATATTACGCAACAAATAAACTTGTGTTACATCGTACGCTTAGAAATAATTAGAAATGAAACTGTTTACTGAATATTACCAAGTAGTATAAAGCAACATACAAAAAACAGGCTAAACAAAAGAAGAGAAAGCAAACGAACATTAAAGCAGTAATAGAAGTGTTATAATTCGAAATTATGTAGCCTAAGGGTTCTAAGGTTAGCTACTATGTTTGGTATTATTTGTCGCTGGTGAAAATTTGTTCCAGTTTTTGTATTAATCACCTCGATCACGTATATGTATTGAATTCTGTTTATAGTATTGATATTTAAATAGAAGTTATTGTTTGTTAAAATTTTCGTCCTCGCTTTCACCAGTTATTGCATTATTATTATAGAGATTAATCAGAACACTAAACATGTTACGATGTGTTGATTTATTTATATCTGAATACTGAAACTTCATAGACACTGATTGTTTATAAATAAAAGGCTGTTTAAACTTCTAGATATTGACAACCCAGGGGTGCAACGGACATGAAATAGTAAGGATTTTTAGAACTTTAAAAAGAAACAGAATGCTTAACGAATAACTTACGAAGCCTTTGTCCTCAGTCAGGGAAAATAGAAAAAAATATTGATATCGGAACTGTTTTCCATGATTGTGAACAGATTACCGTAAATTGCCTAATCCATTTTAAGTTTATTTATAGGTCTTACTATATTTTAAAGATTTTAATTGCTCCCTCTCACATAAGAATGGTTTTAATTGCTTACTTAATAATTTAATGGAGCCAGAGATGTGACAATTTGAATTAACTCTTTTCTGAGTGCAAGAATTAAGTTTATGTGCTAATCAAAGAGTTTGAATTATTTCATATTTAATTACCAGACATATCAATACATGAATGTGAAAGAAAAACAATGAAACTAGTGCAGTTGTGAGAGTGTGCTTTAAGACCAACAATCCGGCCCTTCGAGAGCTTAGCTGTGAAACGTGATAGATGCGCAAGCCTTACCTTCATTTCTACCACTAAGCTACTTGTTAGTGTTATTAGAATGGCATGCTGATGTATATAGTAGTTAATTCGCAAGAACTTAGTGGCTATTTTAACTTCTACCCCTTACACTAATTTCCCTTATCATTTGTATATATATATAGCAAAAATACAAAAGTGAGTAAATTCTCCTTCTGTAATATCTAACGTGTCATTAGGCCATAGTAGTAAATCACATAATTACTTAAAAATGAAGATAAACTGTGCCGAAATAGAATATATAACTCACTTGAACTAAGCGTTCCGTTTCGTACATGCTTAAGAATTCGGGTATGCAAACACATACAAATGTAGTCTGAGTGGAATCTTTGAACTGCTTTGTTATTTCTTTAACGATAGGTAAACGTGTTTCTATTGCATTTGTTAAATCACCACCTTGTGTACTGTTCATTCCGACTAAACCCATTAATTGGTTTAAAATTGGAGCGAACTACGAATTATTGAAAACACAGGAACAAAATATTCGAAAGAATCAACTTTAATTTTAACTTGGAATAATAGTGAGTAAACGGAAACACAAGATAAAAAGAGAAATTATATGCATTTATTTTGTGATTACATGCAAAACCCGATAATATACACCCATAGCATATAGCATTTTTGAACATAGTACTACGTATTTGATACAAAAATATTACATTCATAATATGAAAATCGGCTTCAATACTCATGAATTATGAAGAATGCTTACTAAGACTGGAATGTGGTATAACCCTCGGTTTTACTTCGTCTAATGCTATAACGGATGGGTTTCCACGTTTACAGGTATAGGACGTTAATCTACCTTAAACGAGTATCTACGCTACATTCCCTCCCAGTGTCTATTCTACAGGACGTCAACACAATCATGATCATTCTCGCCCACGCATCTCAACCAAAAAAATAAATTGGAATAATTTTTTATTTCGATGGCCTTTACGAACTTACTTGAGTCGAATATGACAAGAATTCACTTGGCATTATCCACCTTTAACAACTGGTTGAGTTAGTGAAGCATCTAGACACTTATTAAAGATTTTGCACAATGCGTAACTGTGGACTCAGTTGAACTTTATAGCAATAATATATGGCTGAATGTAATGGGGAGGCAAGTTATTTGGTAAACGACGCATTTCGACTATCGTTCACGTCCAAAAGATCAAACAACACTAGGTACGGCAAATGAATAAGTTTAAGTAAATTTGTATGATTCCACCATGTATTACGTAGGACCAGTTGGTAATTACCTTTACTCATTCTTAAACATTTTAAAAACAAGTATGGAAATGCGGTTCACGAAGATGGACGGAAGATATCACAATTTACGCAAAAAAAGTATGCGAGACAAGTGTAAAATTATTTAAGCAACCGAATACCGGGGGGGGTTGGGGTGGGGTGGTTTTAAGTGGGGGGGTGGGAGGGGGGGGGGGGGGGGGTGGTGGGGGGGGGGGGGGGGGGGTGGTGGGGGGCCGGGGGGGGGGGGGGAGGGGGGTGGGGGGGGGGGGGTTGGAAATGTGGAAAGAGTGTGGGGATGGGGAGGGGTGGGTTGTGGGGGGGTATGTTTGTGTTGGTGAGTGGAGGGGGGGTAGGTGGGGGGGGGGGGGGGGGTGATATGGTTGGTAGGGGAATGAGGTTAGGAATTTTTAGGGAAGGGGGTGTATATGTGGTTTAGTGTATGAGTTAGTAAATTAATAGTTGGAGGAAATTTAGTAGAGTTTTTTTTTATGTTATTTATATTTATTGTGTTATTGGGGGTTATGATAGTTGGTGTGTTGCATTTGGGGTGGATCTAGGTTGTGAGTTTTATGTAGTGGGGTCATCTGTGCCATAGGGTGGTTGTATCTAAAGACTACGGAGGATGGCTCAAGATTGCTCGCCCCACCTAAAGTAATACTCCCAGTAGGGGGGGCTATCTTTGTTAAGGGGTGGCAATGTGGGGTCACGTTGACTGGGAGGGTCGAAACAATTGACTGTGTACGCAGGTGCGCACATTATATGGGGTTTGAATTGTCAAGTTGAATAAGATCATTTGGTGAATGTACAAGTCGGGTTGGAAGTACACGTCTGGGGATTAGATTTGCCCCCATAGCCCTCCAGTGTGGGGTTGAGTGGATCCCAGCTTGATCCTATAAAACAAGAAGTGTTTACTTTTAGCTATGGTACACATCTTAAATTACGTTAGTAAACATTTAACTAGTAGAAAATGATTTTCCAGAAAGTTGACCAGATTGGAACAATTGCTACTTACCTGATTTTTCATTGAGAGTACTTTGCTAAGGCTTTTCTCCATAGCCTCTGGAAACGCTAACAATCGTAGTGTGTGGCCAGTAGGAGCAGTATCAAAAATGACGACTGAATAATCCATATTGCGGACCAACCGAAACACCTCTGTATAAGACATATACTCATCCACTCCAGGGAAAGAAGTCATCAAGTGACCGATGGTTTTACGTATATCAGCGGAAACTGCTGCTTCTTCAGAACCAACCAGATCCTCTTCGAACTCCCCTAAGTTCACATTTGGATCAATTTCCATAGCAAAAAGATTATTAAAACCCTAAAACCAGAAAAGAGTACATCCTGAAAAGTTAGAATTGATGATAAGTATTCCTGAAGTTTAAAAAGGCTTTTGCCAACTTACGTCACCTTTGGCGAAGGCGAGATATCCATCTATCAATGAAAGGACGAGTATACTGCGCGGCAGTTCATTCTGTTTTACTTTGCGGCAGCGAAACATGGCCTTTAAGAGTAGAAGACACCCGTAAGCTACTAGTATTTGACCACAGATGCCTTAGAAATATTGCTGGCATCTGCTGGGATCACCGGGTAAGTAATAGTGAGGTTAGACGCAGGGTATTAGGTAATGATGGTAAATCAGTTGATGAGGTTATGAATCTTCATCGACTGAGATGGTTGGGCCACGTGTTACGCATGCCCGAACACCGATTACCACGATGTGCAATGCTAACCGGTGTAGGGGATGGTTGGAAGAAAGTTATGGGCGGCCAAACCAAAACGTGGCATCAGTGCCTGAAGTCACTAACTTCTAGTCTGAGCCATGTTGGTAGATGCAGACTACTTGGTTGGGGTCCACGCGACTTTCGTAACCGATGGTTGGAGATTCTTGGTGACATGGCTCAGAATCGATCACAATGGCGTCGGTGTATACACTCCCTGTCTTCCCTTAAACTAAGAGATTAAAATCACTTCAGATCTTTCTTTCTACTAACTAATTCTTTCTTCCTGTACTGTATCCTTATGTGCAATCTTTCTCCTATTTATTAGCACCTTTGACCTAACCACTCCTATGAATCCGGTGTCCATCTTTCTGTGCTAATGCGGTATGGCAACCTGGACCGATGCATATATGTGCCTGGTCCTACGTTGTAGCTGACTGACTGAAAAAGGAAAACATGAGAAACATCCTCTCAAATTTGAACGTCATTTAGTTATATCTGTATTTAAGTAACTAATTTGTCGAGCAGAAATTTTTCCATTTATCTTCAGGTCAAAATACTTGTGCATTGGCTATAAATACTATCTAGCTGTCTAAATCAAGATAGGAGGAATAAGACTCGAACTCGCGATCTATTATTTAGAACAGCGATCTCCTAATTACCAGGCCATCACTCATTTTGACGATGGATTCAGTTACGGATTGATATTAGTTCAAAAATGATTCCACACGAGACCATTCTACAGTTATTACTTTTTGGAAGTCCCCATCTATGGCATCTAGTATTTAATACTTCACTAGATGATATCAGTTCCTGTCAAAACTTTTCTGAAACCTGGATAATAATGATAATAGTAGTAACTTTATTCAATATTGCATGTTCAGTACCAAATAAGATTCTCAACAAACCCTCAAAATCACCTAATTACTCATTAGCGATTAGCTTCAGATATTTTCTGAAGTTTCACTGATAATCCGTGACCTCAGTATCAACCATCTAGGCAGTAAGGAAATTATCCCCTCACCACATTAGATAATGATCCCACTGGAACATAAAAACCGTTGGATACTGACATAGTTACTGAGTGCGTCTGTCGAGAAACCTGGAGGCCCTACACTTAATATAGTCTGGTAGTTTGTGTGCACTAACGATAAAGTAACAGCTAAAGCGTGCTTCTAGTTTGAATGATTATCCAGTTGATGTCAGTCCATAATGAATATTACCTTTGGTCTCAGTCAGTCAGTCAGAAAAAACGTAGAACTTCGTACGTACGTACGTACATCAGTTCGAGTTGCCATACCACATTAGCACAGAGATGCATTGGTCGATTCAAATCCCGTAGTGGTAGAGGTAGTAACAGTATAAACAGTAATTGGAAAGATCAGGGTTTGAAGATGTTAGTCAAGGAGTATATTACACTGAAATAAATTTGGAAAGAAGAAAAAAAGGACATGAAGAATTCAGAAGATTAGAATTTGGGAGAACACAAAGAGTAGATGCATCTGCGCCATTGCAAACGATTTTGAGCCATGTCATTCAGGATCTCTAACCATCGGTTGCTATCATCTCGACGTCCCCAACCAGGTAGTATACACCTACCAACATGACTCAGTCCACTTGTCAGTGACTTCATGGATTTGTGCCATGTTTTGGTCTGGCCGTCCCTAGCTTTCTTCCAACCTACTCCTATACCATTGAACATCGCACGTCGAGGTAGTCGGTCGTTGGGCATACGTAACACGTGTCCCAGCCATCTCAACTGATGAAGTTTCACTACTTCATCAATTGATTTGCCATCCTTACCTAGTACCCGATCCCTAACAACTGTGTTACTTACTCGATGGTCCCATGATATACGAGCAATGTTTCGAAGACACCTATGATCGAATACTAGTAACCTACGAATATCCTCTACTCTTACCGGCCATGTTTCACTGCCATAAAGAAGGACGGGACGAACTGCTGCGCAGTAAAAACGTCCTTTGATTGATAGACGGATATCTCGCCTACACCATAAATGACGCATGTTGGCAAAAGCTAGTCGAGCCTTCTGTATCCGTGCTGAGATTTCGTCACACACCAGACCACAAGGGCTGATGAGACTTCCAAGATAAGTGAAGCGGTCGACACACTCAACTACTTCACTCCCTATCACTAGTTCGTGTGTCGATGTAACCCAATACTGAAGCAACATTTTGCATTTCGAGGGAGAGAATCGCATCCCGAACATGCTTGCATTGTTGTTGAGAGTGGTCAGAAGACTCTGCATTTTGTCAGCGTCTTCACCAAATAAAACTATGTCATCTGCATATTCTAAGTCAACAAGTGAACCTCCCGGTAGAAGTTCAACCCCTGGAAATTTAGATGAGGAGAGTGTTATCTCTAAAAGTACGTCGACCACAAAGTTGAACAAGAATGGGGAGAGTGGACAGCCCTGACGAACACCACTTGAGGTAATCAATTCTGATGACAGTTCGCCATAAGCTCTCACTCTACCAGTTGTGTTCGAGTAGAGAGCCTTTATAAGGTTAATGTACTTCTTTGGTACTCCTTTCAGTGACAAACACTGCCATAGAACCTCACGATCAACAGAGTCGAATGCCACCTTAAGGTCGAGAATACTACCATTGTGGGGCGTCTGAATGTGTGTCTGTGTTCTAGAACCTGACGTAGTGTGAATATCTGGTCTATACAACCACGTCCAGGTCGAAAACCGGCCTGGTTTTCTCTAGTCTGTTCTTCACGAGCTTTAGTTAGGCGTCAAAGTATTATTGAGGCTAATATTTTAGATACTATATTTGTCAAACTGATTCCTCTGTGATTGTCACAAGAGGACTTTTGTCCTTTCTTATAGACTGGAATAATCAGTGATTGAGACCAGTCAGATGGGATTACGTCCAGTTCCCAAATTCTACCTAAGACCTCGGTTAATCTCATTGCTAATAATAAATCGTTAAGTCGGTAACGTTTGAAGTAAATTTATTACCCATGACCAAATCAATAATTAAGTTTGTAAACTACAAAACTTGAAATATAACGTGTTTTGACTTAATTAGTCACCAGGTGGTAAGCATGACTTCTCAGTAGTTGTTAGTCCAGATCAAAGTTGATATAACACTGAGAAATAACAAAACATTCGTGTTGTGTTACTAAGTGCGGACCCCAACCAAGTAGTCTGCATCTACCAACATGGCTCAGACTAGAGGTTAGTGTCTTCAAGCACTGATGCCACGTTTTGGTTTGGCCGCCCCTAATTCTCTTCCAACCATCTCTAACACCCGTTAGCATTGCACGACGTGGTAATCGGTGTTCAGGCATACGTAACACGTGGCCCAACCATCTCAGTCGATGAAGATTAACAAACCTCATCAACTGATTTACCATCATTACCTAATACCCTGCGTCTAACCTTACTATTACTTACCCGGTGATCCCAACAGACGCTAGCAATATTTCCAAGACATATATGATTAAATACTAGTAGCCTACGAGTATCTTCCACTCTCAATGATCACGTGTCGTAGCCATAAATTAGAACGGAATGAACTGCCACGCAGTTTACTTGTCGTTTTATTGGTCGGCGGATATCTCGCCTTCACCAGATGGTTTGGGACCTTATCACAAATGACTCAAAGTAGAAGTTAAGGTTCTTCATGAACAGAAACATATACCTCCAAATTAAACAAATTTCGCCTTGGTTCTTATTCAGAACCTAACCTTCGATAGTTTTGATGTTTATTTTGATTATATAATTTCCACTCCTATATATTTACAATCTTATCACTTCGTTTTGTATAATAAACACCATCAAGTCCGACGTGTGATAAACAAAATAACGGTAAAATTAAATGGCCAGGAAATGGAATGAATGCCAGCGCCAACTGACCAAGTTATCACATAATACCAACTTCGTATACATTATCCGGTCTCATAGAAAACCAGTAGTAGCCCTAATCCTTTAACGGTATCGTCATGGACTGAGGCATTAAAAGACAATCGAACTTAAGGAAGAATTCTTCTGCAGAATTGTATGTGTTTTCTTTAGATTAGCTCGAGCAAGACCGAAATTCGGGTTCTAGACTTCTTTTCGATTGTTTTCTAACAACGAAAAACAAAATTTCTCAAAAGTAGTACATTCTTTAGTTGTCAATGGGGACAGCCTATTAAGTAATCAAACCGAAACCGTGAGGAGAAAAAATGATCTGGAATGTCTGTATAAACAGGAAGCAATCTGCAACTCTCATTTTTAGGTCTGCTACATCTGATGAAATAAGTAACAAGTATTGCAGTGATTGTTTGCATAATGAACCACATCTCTACGTCTAAAAATGAAAAAGTAAGGAAACTTGGTTTTCTGAGTTACTGGGGAAAGTGTTTTACCGAATTGTGTGAACGAACTATGTTAGTGATAATATCTAAAAATTCGGCTCTACAAGATTTGACTAGAAAACAATTAAGTCAGTGACAGGCTAAAAGTGACATACATCCATTGCCAAGTTGGATTGAAAATTTATTTATTTATTCATTTAAACACACAAGCATTGGCACAAAAGAGGCACCAAATAGATATGCGACACAT